ATTTTTTTTTTTTTTAATGAATGGTCAACGTCTTTCAGTAAATTAGCTGTGAAAATAGCCACTGATACTTTACGGACATCAGTTCATTAAAGACAACATCCAGTTACAAGACAAACATCTTTCTTTTCTCCGACAAGTCGTGACTTTCGCCTGAAAAGCAAGGTTATTGTAACGCGAGTCGAACCCAAAACAGAAGAAAGCGCAGAAATATTCTGAACGACGGGTAGTGTTCTATTTGTTCGTCGCCCGCGATTTTGAGAGATAGAAATTCGAATAATTAGGTCCAAATTCTTTCTCAATGAAGGATTTTTGTCAATTACTGAAGAATCTGCCACATGCACATATTTCAAAATAGACCGTGTGTTAATTATGAAATCTCCTGTCATTTAACATTTCTCAGGCTGAAATATTCCTCACTTATCCGGAAGATGTTTTGTCTTGTAACTCTTGGTTCGTCAGAGTTTTTGCTCTCGTCTGCCGCGAACCCAGCGGGTTTCTTACGGGATCACTTCGGGATCTTCTGGATCCGACCACCGAAGAATCATAACATTGAAATTAATTATTTCACGAATAATGAAAAACAGTATGATCAATATTTTATCCACTATATCAAGAAAAAATATGATCAGTAATTAGTGTTCTCTCTATTACGATGGCCAACCACAATTTTTTTTTTCATTATCACAGGCAAGGCTTCCCATCATCTCCGTTTTCGATGTAAAGGGTCAATTATTAGTTGATAATAGTTGATTGAGTTTATCTATAGTCCCTTTTTAATTTCCTCAGTTTTAAAATCTTTTTCTTTTTGTGTGCAACCTCGCACGAGCCGTGAGAGGAATGGGACAGAGCATTTTCCCCCTGCGTCGCAAATGTTTGGGCTTCGTGTTTGGGCTTCGTGTTGTACGTACTAGCGATTGGCGAACAAAATCTGGTAATATTAATCATGGCCTAACTGATCGTGTAAATTAGGAAAAAAATCGATATGTATAAAAAAAAAAAAAAAAAAAAACTCATAACAAAGAGAAGAGTGGTTTAAAGTTTCCCCTTTACTGATAAGTTTCTTGTAACCTTTAATTCTTAGACACACCCACAGTTACGAGAGTATTAAAAAAACAGCATGGTGCAAGCTGCAATTCTTTTGGTATTTTGAGAACTGTTTACAGTGTACAAGGCAAACTCCAATCAAAATATTAACACAAATAACAGAAAACTTCTGCAAAATTTCATCAGGCTGTAAATGGACGGCTCGGTCGACGCCAGGAAGTCTGTGCTTTATTATTTGAGTGACATAAGAGTCGATATACCCGGTGGCCTTTTCCACGAAAGTTAATAAGGGCCTGATAAAATTTTTACGTCTAAAAGGGCCAAAAAGGTAACACATTTGAAGTCTAGCGGGCGCCATATACCAAAACACAAATCACCAATTATCTGGAGATCAAAGCCCGGGATCAAAGTGATGCCATCGAAAACCTTTTCGGAGCGGATATTGACCTGTAATACATGTTAAACTCACTAAGAACATGGATGCCTGCATGTGGCTCTTGGACATCGAAGGTCTCTAGAGACGATGTAAAATCATCTTGGAGCGATTATCTAAATGTCAAACCTCGCGTATAGAAAATGGCTGACGTTAATTGATAGCCCCGGAAATTGTTGCATTCGAGGCAGAAATGGTAGCGGTGTAATGCACGTGACTCCGATTATGCCACACGAGAAAGGAAGAATTCTGTCCAATGTTGTCTTCTCTTTCCGTCAAATTTTCTTAACTTAGTGAAAATAATCGAATATCATGAAATGCTCGTCTAAGTCCATCGCGCGAGATTTTTGCCGCAGGAAAAGCCCCTGATGAAAATGTGCAAACCGCCACTCGAGATTTGAAAATTCTGTGGTATGAAAACATTCCTTTATGTTCTCTATTACAAGGTCCTTTTCTTCTTTTCACTTCATAAGTTCTGGATTAGCGTTCGTGAACGCGAGTTATTTTGAGAGACAACTTTTGCCGGACTCCTTTATAAGAAAACCTTTTAGTTGCATTGTTGTTCTGTGATTTGGACGGTCAGAGATGAAAAAGATAGTAAGTAATGTGTGTCTTGGCCTTCATGTGTGGTCTTCGGCCGCCTAATGCAGGAACTACTTGTAGCATAGACGCTTTTGACCAATCAGCGGCGTGCGTTGGTGACGTTAGACAAGTGTGGTGTTGCGGAGATTAGTTTTCATGCAGGAGTGACAGTGAAGGATCGATTTTCATTGAGGGAATGTACAGTTGCGACGAACTGAATGACTCTAAGCACGGATTATGACTTTTAGAAAGCGATGTTTTCGCTCCGTGGTTTCTGTCCTACTCTTGAGGTACTGTTCACGGTAGAGACTTCGTGTCTGACGCCTTGCCGTGAGTGCAGAACGATTGTGCTTTGAAAACGTTTCACACCGTTGAAGTTCGACACCGCGTGGCATTCGACTTTTAACCATCCAGCTCAAAAAATGAGCACTTTTTCGTCTAGAAACTCCGGTTGGGCAGCTGAGAGGCTACGAGAGATCGACCAGGTGAGAGAATATTAGTAATCCAAAGCTACTCAATGGGGCAGTTTGCGTCCATATTGTGTACAAGTCGCAATTCCTCTTCAAACATTAGCTATCGTCTAGTAGATTGTTTACATTACTTCGCATCGAATTCTCGTCAAGTTATGCTCGAGCTGGGCCGTGCTGCCCTGAATCAGCTCATCGAGAGTCACTGTGAGCTTGACGAAGCTCTTGAAACATTATTTCTGAATAATTGGAAAGTAATTTGTGTTTCAGTGCCTCGCTCAAAATATTTACTTTGGAGAGGACGGTTGAGCACCCTGTAAATTTTCTCTCTGTGAAGTTTCGGAGCGACGAGGGAGGTCGAGATTGTCAGGAACTACTTTTTTTAAGGCATTTTGACCTTGTGTTGTTATACGACTTAACAAAATTTGTGATGGCGGACAATACAGTAGAACAAAGGCAAATTACGATGCACGACAGTTAAATGTGACACCTTCTGAGTTCGTTTATCTTGGATACAGTGCACAGTTATGTGGTTTTGACTTTTTTTTTAATCTCCGTCCCGTAGCCCACCAACTGTTTTGATCGCCAGATATAAACTTAAGCAATTCGTGATCGCATCCTTTCCATTTCCTCTGCTATTATTTCGCCAGATGAAGCTCTTTGTGACCTCACATTGTTTATGAAAGGGCGCCGAAGTAATTTTGATTCTGTTGGCGGCTCCTTCTTTGCTGTTGATTTTGACGCCTGATCAAATTCATCAATCGTTCTCCATTGGTAGGACTATGCATGTGTACACTACACTTGCATCGATAAATCTGTTTAAAACTCCGGCTATTTTTATCCCCTGGAATTTCCCCAATATATCGGTTCGAGATTGCAACATTGACAGATGCAAAAAGAACTTATTTTGAACGAGAACCGTGCGATGTTTGGCGATCTCAATCGTTTTAGAAACAAAACTCGAAGACCTCGCCCTCGCTGACTAGCGAGGCTTGTTATGTTATCAAAGGCTTTGGCAAGATTGTCGATCGTGGTGGTCCATCCGACCGATAAAACACGTGCTGTTAGACAAGAGACACAATAAAAACTTTAGCAGGACTCTCAAGAGCTTGGTAATGATTCCATATAGAAATATTTACTCAAAGGTTATTGAAAGTCAGGGAAACGAACTACGTCAATATCTTAAATTGGTTTCATCCATATCTCTTTGATCTTCGTGGTTGATCACGAACTTAGAGCTTAGCAAGAATTAAATGACAATATTTATGATGGAATGTACCATTCTGTCATGTTTAAGTCTAAGTACATTATATGTACAATGGAACCTCGCGCTAACTTGAAATCAAAGCCATTTCCCTTCAAGCTGTACATTTCCCCTTACTATCCGTGAACGCGAACTTCTTGTATCTTAATTGTTTTTGTTTGTGGCTTTCCTCCGTTGATCTCACAAATGCAGTGTTTATAAATATGTATATTTTGTCAACAGGGCCATGCGAGGGGGAATAGACCGGCTTTGGTCGTTCGCTCCCTGTTGCAGGCTTTCCTCAGAGGTCTTGGCCGCTTTATACAGCGAAGATGTGGAACTGTGATTATGTTTGGTTTCCTTCTTTTGATCGTATCAGCGATCGGACTGATCAAAGCAGAATTGGAAACAAATGCTGAGAATCTGTGGATTGAAGGTAAGTGGTTCTTTTTTGCAAACATCTTTGGTGGATATCAGCTGTCGATCGATGTGATTTACCGGTACAGTTTTTTCCTTGCTCGAACATATTTCAGATATGTTGTACAATCGCAAAGCGGACGTGTTGTTTTGCGCATTTCCTGTCCACCTCGAGGTAACAGCTTGGGCGAGATTTCTTTACTGACAAGAAAACCAATTTGAAAGCGATGTATGGTAATTACAAAATTGAAAATTAATCTGAAGGTCAACCTTTCTGGCACACACTGTTGAGAGAGGAGCATTCTTACGGAAACCAATTTCCTGCAAAGTGCAATCTGCATGTGGTGTATATAGCTGCTATATCGCTATTTTATTTGTTTGTACATCCACTAGATGCTAATGAAATACAGCAATTATCTTTTTTTTTTGTCTTTGAATCTTCTTCATCATCAGCTGGGGCATCTGTAAGGTGATATTCAGACACATTGAACAGGTGTCAGCTGTTGCACAATTTAAGCAGCTAAATCCAAACTGAAATTCAACTTTTAATGTATACATCATCCAAATTCCTATCGCAGTTTAAAAATAACCTGTAGTACTTTTGTTTAGAAGTCAATTATAACTTCTTTGTCCTCATTCCTTTGAGTTGAAATTGATTTGCATACCATCACTCATAAATGTCATTTTCAATTATTCAAATATGTAGCATTATTTAAAGCATGACTGGTAAACACTTAGAACCAAAGTTTTCATCTCCTATTTATTATAACCTGCTAGCATTTTGGCTGAAAGTTTGAGATCTTTTTGGAAACAGTGAAAGGGTTGTTTGTAACTTGTAACAAAAGGAGTGCTTTCTTTCTAAAAAAAGTAGACCTTTTATTTGTAAAGTTGGTTTAAAGTTGCCGATGGTACCCCAATTAGTGTGTTTGTCTTTATTGTTGGAGAACACTTTCATAATCTTAGATCAAGCCATTGTTAGTCCCAGTGACCTCTCTCACAAATGTAAAACTTGAATATATTATCATCAATTTGCATTCAACAGTTGAATAAATTTGTTACATCATTAAGACATCAAAAGTTAAGGTATGAAAACACACAGCTGATCATGGCAATTGCGTAAACCCACCAGCTTGAAAAAACTTCCTTAGGTCGACAACATGGGAAGTTGTATATTTGAAAGAATAAAACTAGATTTTTATCATTTGTCAAGTACCTAAGCAAAGGTACAGTTTGGATAAAACACAGTCAGCCCTTTATATTTGAATCTCAAATAAGTTGATTTCTTAGTACCCACAAGCCTTTAAATCTATAATGCAAAGTGTTAAAATAATGGAAGTTGGTAAACTGAAGACTGATTGTTTTGGGAGACAAAAATGTCAAGTGTATGTAGGTATCCCTTACCTCTGCAGAATTAGATCTTTAAAAACTTAACTGAGTAAGCATGGATTATTGTCAATACCACTTATAGGATTCTGAACACTTCCCAGTGCTTTAACTGATGGAATGATTAGGAAATCTTGCTAATTGCTATATCTTCTTATAGGGGCCCACCCAGAAAGGCTCAAAATGTGTCTGTATTCTGTCTTTAATTTTCACTGTCTGGCTATGTTCAGCTGAAGTTGCTGTAAATGTCAAAAATGTTCTGTAACAAAAACAGAAGGCTTTAGAGACAACAATACACTTTCTTGATGAAAAAAAAAATTAAGATTCATCTGTAGTTGCCAACAATAGTTTTAGAAGGTTTCTGTACAACTGGTATGAGGAAAGGACCAAGGGCAAATCACAAATAATTTTTTTTATGCAAGTCTTTGTATTTCTCAGTTTTGGGTCATAAATTTTAAAGAACATGTAGAGATGTGGAAACTTGCTACTTGACTGGCACAATTAAGTAAAAATGTAATTTCCAAATTTTTCATGGTTGTCATAGTGATTAAAGTGATCATAGCTTGGCATGCTGCCATGAGAAAATTTTGAGGACTAAAATCATAGCACACAATTTTACAGAAACCAATAAGAAACAAAAAAATGCACATTAAAAAGTTAGATTGAGAAAAATTGTGAGAAGTAAAGGAGGACACAATGATAACTACTTCTAAAGGCGAAAAAAGAGTTTGAAAGAGCACACAATGTTAAAATTTTTTATACTGAGTTTTTCATCAATAATTACTACAAACTCTGTCAACTGGAAATGGAATTCAATAATGCAAAGTTATTGAGATTGCCATTGCTGAACTTTTTTGCTGAATTTGTCGTTATAATGTTCAAAATTGCCTTAAACGTGAAGGAATCTGGGAATTATTGGTTTAGTAAGATTATCGCCTCAGGTGTCCTTCTGAGCACTAAGAGGTAAGTAAGTGAGTAAGTAGGTAAGTAAGTGCAGAAGAGAAGAGATTGATCACAAGAGAAGAAAAGCTTAAAAACAGAAAGGAGATTAAAAATGCAAATTGCAAATGACAATTGAACAAATGTATGTTGAAAGTTTTCAAAATTTTGAAGGCTTGATCGTTTAGGAAGGAGATTTTGAGCCAGCCAGGTCTTGCATTTAAACCCTTGCCAAAGTGAACTTTGCATGAACTTGGACCAAAAGCTATTTCCCCTTGATTTGGTTAACATACCGAGTATCCACTATCAGTAACAAAACCCTTATTAACTAGAAAATTCCTCTGACTTGGGGCAGTTTCTGTTGTTCTTCAGATGTTTCTGTTTTCCTTCAGATGTACCAATATGTGGCTAGTCCACATAAGTCAACTTCTTACCATAGCACATTACTTCTGCATCACAACTTTTTGAGAGTCAACTGTACAGTGTTGCTGCTTAAATTTTAATTTGCAAAGCAAAGAAACAATGTGAAAAAGACGAAAGTTAGGCAAATCTAAAGAGATTAATGTGTTATTAATGTAAATAGTGTTCGTAGTGTACTTATATTAGGCAGTAGATTTTTACAGAGGCTTTAGGGTCCACAGGTAGTGTCATCACAATCTGGAATTCTCTGATATTTTACTGCTTAGTAGACTAAACAAAATAATTATTATTGTCTAGATGTTATATTTTTATCCAAAAGGTGATGAAAATAGTGTCTACAAATCACTTCCAAGGGTCATTAGTGTTACTCCTTACTGTCTGCCATAAAACTCTTACAATGATGCTAGTTCAGAGAATTTTCAATTGGATCAACTAATAATCCCCCAAATTTATATTTTTCTTTATTCTCATCACTTGTCTGTTTGATATTACATTAAAATATTGTTAGGAAAAAATTCTGCCTCTGTTGATCATGGGAACAAAGAGGCTGAGTTATCTATTGCTTGTAATTTCAGTGGATGGTCGTCTGGAAAAAGAGCTCCAGTACACCAAAAAAGCCCTTGGAGATGGTTATGGTGGAACAAATGAACTACTTATTCAAACGCCGAATGTCAAAGGGACTAATATTCTTTCTGTGCAGGCCATGAAACGACACTTGGATGTTCTGACAAGAGTCACAAATATTTCAGTGGAATTGTTTGACCAGTAAGTAATAGCATGACTGTGTGTTTGTATAACCAGTGTTGGATCTTATGGGTCATCTGATAAGCAGGAAATTTTAATTTTGAAAGACGTGCAGGATGGGATGTTACTTAAAGGCTTAAAGTACATGCACCAGTGTGTGGCCCAGCCAACACTCACAGTTTTAATGCCAAGATACTTTAAATGCCGTCACATGCACCCCTCTTAGTTACTCCTTCCTCCACACCTTTCCCAACCAGCAAAATTGTAAGATACAAGTATCAAATTGTCACTCATTTAGGCTAGGTAGCACTGCAGTGCGTGATACTGATTCAGAGAAGTCACCCAAGGCTTTATTCCTCTCACCCCCCAAGGCTTCTACTGATTAAAATATTTAGAGCCAATAACAGTGTACATTTTGTTATCCTGAGCTGAGCACTTTTTTTTTTTTTTTGGGGGGGGGGGCACCTCAAGAGAGAAGTTAGCCATCTTAGCCAAGCATTTAGTGCTTAGTAGGAAGCTGAATAAGTCATACATATCCACCGTGGATTGAGAATTTTTTGATTTTATTTTTCTAGGACATGGACACTGAAAGATATTTGTTATACTCTAAGTCTTCCACCACTGAATGATAATGTGGGATTGGATAGTGTAAGTTTTTTTTTTTTTTCTGTCTGAGATGGTGTATTTGTCTAATTTCTCAGTTACGCAAGGGATGCTTTCTTCTGTTAGTCATTTACACTCTTTCATTTCTTGAACAACAAATGTGCCTTTTGTAGACTCTTCAGCAACTTCTGCCTTGTGTCATTATAACCCCTTTGGATTGTTTCTGGGATGGAGCAAAACCACTTGGACCACACAACAAAGTGAACCTTGGGTAAGAAACTGATGGTAGAAATTTTCATTTTTTAAGCAAAAGTAAGTCAATGTAATAACAAGCAAAGGTTCATTCAGGCAAGAAACTGATCCGTTTTAGTAGAAAATGAGCGAACTCAACTTGTACTATATATACTTTC